AACCTTTCAGCTCGAGTTACAAAACCGTTTTCAGTGCCTAGAAGTCTGCAATGAAGTGGACGATATGAATGACAAGCTCGTGGAAACTGTCCATGCGGTCGGAGCTAAGTTCTGCAAGACCCGCCGCAGAAGAACACAAAAACTCTCCGATCACACTCTTAATCTCATGGCTGTTAGACGGCATATGAAGCTACATTCTTCAACAGATTTGACAGCATACAGGCAACTGAACAGACAGATCTCCAAATGCATGCGGCGGGACTTACGCAACTTCAATACAGCTCGTATTGAAGAAGCGATCGAGCGGAACCAAGGCTCCAAAGTCTTTGCCAGAGATCTGTCTGCCAGAAAGAGCCAACTGTCAAAGCTGAAGACAGAATGTGGCAGCATCATTTCCGGGGCACCTGAGATTTTGAGTGAGATTGAGAGGTTCTATGGGCATGTGTACACGTCATCGTTGGAGCCACACGCGAGTGTGAGTAACGATCCAAGAGCGAGTCTTATCGGACATTATTCCGATGATATCCCGGACGTCAGCCTGAGCGAGGTTAGAATGGCTGTCCAGCACCTTAAAAACGGCAAGGCCCCAGGCGAGGATGGAATTACAGCGGAGCTTCTGAAAGCGGGTGGAAAACCGGTGCTTGAAGTCCTTCAGAAGCTCTTTAATTCCGTCCTCCATGGTGGCATTACACCGGAGGGGTGGAGCAGAAGTGCGGTGGTCTTGTTCTTCAAAAAAGGCGACAACGCTCTCTTGAAGAACTACAGACCGATTTCCCTTCTGAGCCGCGTCTACGTGCTGTTCGAGTCATTACGAATCTTCTCGCGCGCAGACTGGACGACTTCCAGCCTCCCAAACAAGCTGGTTTCCGAAAAGGCTTTAGCACCATAGACCACATACACACCCTTCGGCAAATTGTACAAAAGTCAGAGGAGTACAATTTGCCACTATGTCTGGCGTATGTGGACTATGAGAAAGCCTTTGATTCCGTCGAAATTTGGGCGGTGCTGCAGTCCCTTCAGCGGTGCCAAGTGGAATATCGGTATATCGAAGTGCTGAAGTGCTAGTACAGTAGGGCTACGATGGCTATCCGAGTACAGAACCAGAGTACGAAACCTATCCAATTGCTGAGGTGTAAGACAGGGTGACGTCATATCCCCGAAACTCTTCACCGCTTCATTGGAAGACGTTTTTATGCTTCTGGACTGGAAATGATACGGTATCAACATCAATGGCGAGTACATCACTCACCTTCGATTTGCCGACGATATAGTCCTCATGGCAGAATTGCTGGAGGACCTAAGCACTATGCTCAATGACCTCAATAGTGCTTCCCAACGGATAGGTCTTAAGATGGACATTGACAAAACAAAGATCATGTTTAATGTCCATGTCACACCTATGCCGGTAGTTGTTGGGAGCACTAAGCTCGAAGTTGTTGACGAGTATGTTTACCTGGGACAAATAGTCCGACTAGGTAAGTCCAACTTCGACCGAGAGGTCAATCGACGGATTCAACTCGGTTGGGCAGTGTTCGGGAAATTACGGCACATCTTCTCGTCAGGTATACCTCAAAACTTGAAAACGAGACTGTACAACCAGTGCGTGTTGTCAGTGATGACATACGGAACTGCGACGTGGTTCTTCACTGCTGGCCGGCTAAGGAAGCTCAAGGTCACTCAGCGAGCTATGGAGAGGGCTATGCTCGGAGTTTCTCGGCGTGATAACTCAGAAATGAGGATATCCGCAGTAGAACCAGAGTGACCGACATAGCCCAACGGATTAGTAAGCTGAAGTGGCAATGGGCCAGCCATATAGCTCGAAGAACCGACAACCGATGGGGAAGAAAGGTTCTCGAGTGGCAGCCTCGTACCGGCAGGGGAAGTGTTGGGCGTCCCCCCACTAGATGGAGTGACGACCTGGTAAGATATGCAAGAAGTCGATGGATACAGGTGGCTCAGGACCGTGCTTTGTGGCATTCCTTGGGGGAGGCCTATGTTCAGCAGTGGACTTGTGAAGGGCTGTAATGATGATGATGATGAACCCTTTACAATTGCTTTCTTTATCGCCCACACCTGATATTACATCCTTGCAGCTTCTTCTTGGTAATCTTAATAACTGAGCAGCCCGTTCCGTTATCAAAGATGTTTAGGAACCCTTGTCCAAGAGGCAACGCATTTTATGAAGGGTTCCATCTGCTGATTCTACCTTGATAATCGCAGGTGGTAACAATACTTCGATCGGTTCATTCGGAAGCGACACGTGCGAACTACTTTTGACGTATTTCCCGGAGTAAGCATTTGAACTACTGGCGCCGCTCGGGCCGGCACCTCCGGCCGCTGTTTCCGGTGTCGCAATACTTGTTTGTCTGATTGTTTCATGTAGAAGGCTATTATGATCCTTATTGCATTCACGACAACGTCTATCTGAAATACAAGCTTTTCCATAGTGGTTATATACGCAATTAGGACAAACATTTAATTTTATGACCATTTTTCTTCTACATATCTAAAAATTTTTGACAGAAATAAATCCCGTGCTCATCGCTGTTGCACAGAGAACATTTGTATTTAGTCATGATATTATTGCTGCTTGATTGTTTTGGCGTCATCCGTATGCTTGAAGAAAATGAATTTTTGTAGTAATTCGGTTTTTGATTACTGTCGTTAAAATCTTTTAAGTTTCCTTGATATTTTTGTGTAGGGTTATCTTGCTTCCTACGAGCTGATTCCAACGTAGTGAATTTGGTTTCCAAAAATTCCAATAATTCGTTCAGCATAGGTAACTCCCTTGGGTGCTTAACGGATTCAATATAATCTGAGTATGATTCGATGTCTAATTTTTGCGAGAAAATGTACACAATCAGAGGGTCCCATGAGCTTACTTTGACCCCTAGATTCTTGATAGCATTCAGACACTCAATTGTAGTATCATGAATGCGCTTGATATGATTCAAGGACTGATGTTGCATAACAGGAATATTTAAAAGTAAACTGATATGTGATGAAAATATAAGCCTTTTGTTTAAAATGTCCCAACATACATCGTAGTTGTCCGAGCTAATGCTGAGATGCTGGATTAGTCTCTCGGCTTCTCCTTTCACCTTGGTCTTGAGATACTGCATCTTCTGCGCGTTGGACATAGACGGATTGTTATGGATTGTTACAGTGAAAATGTCCTTGAAAGAAGTCCAGGTGTTATAATTTCCACTGAAAGTCGGAATCTCCATCTGCGGCGTAGACTTTTCTCTGTAAGCCAATGACCACATTTTCTTGTTAATGTCTTTCTTAATTCTACTATATTTTGATTCGTAGCTGTTAAAAGTATCTTCATATTCCTTGTTCGACCCTTCCAGCTCACTATCTAAGTCCCAGTGCAGCGCGTCGCTTGCTGCCCACCGGGTTTGAATCGTCCGTAATAAATCATCAAATTCCCACTTTTCTGACACGGAATCAAGGTCAATGTCAAACTACAGTACACTGGAAAGCTTTAAAATTACTAAACTGTTTTTCAGCATATTGTCGGTCTTGCTCGTCGTGCATGTTGCTTGCCCTGATGGTCGAGAGGATTCGCCTTCACTCATAACAAAAGTTAGTGGCTTCAGAAGAGGCATTCTGGGCCTTTCCCCTGTAAGCTGCTGATAGTTCTGTATATGAAGCCTAATAGACCGTATCTTTCGGCTACTCGTTCAAATTCTTGATTCGTAAAGTAGCTATTAGACTCTATACCGAACTCTGACAATCTTGCATGATTATTTTTAAACTCTAGCCAATATTTATCCAACATATCTAATCTACGCTGTATATAGTCTGTTTTCCTTTCTGAGCTGTCTTTTTTAAAATTGGTAAAGACATGCTCTATCGCCTGAGCGATTTGCTGCTGATTAGCCAGGAAGTCGTCCATTTTCAACATGATAAAGAAGAGAAAAAGGGCTGATCTTACTTGATATCTGCTGAACGGCGTATGTGAGCAGACACGCTCACCGACTGATGATGATCAGAGACTTCGCTCTCCAGACGCAGGCGTGCACCTTGATCGCACAGGGCCTTGATACTTGCTGCGTCACTGGTTTCTTGATAGCCCAGTAGCAGTCACGCAACTACGCGCCACGTGTTCGAAAAAATCCGATAGGTTACTGCGCGGAAACACTGACACGTCCACACCGCAACTAAAGCACAGGTGCCAAGGTCCCGCTTTTTCTGAAACCTCAAAGGACTAATGTTCGGGGTTGTACCGACATTAAGGGGATGATAAACTGATAACGCTTGATAAGTCTGATAAAATATATTTTGGATAAGTTTACAAATTATAAAGGCTAGAACTACTGATAATAATGAGTACGCGTAGCGCTCTTAATAAGCGAACTGATTTTAAAATACAATTGCCGCGGAAATATGTAAAAGAGGTCAAGTTGTGAAATGATGACTTGACAATTGTACGTTGCATTCCATGCTCGTACAATGCATAATATGTAACTGCGCACGCAAGTGAAATAAACGAAACTTATAATTTTATTAGTAAAAACAGCTATATTAGGTAGGAAGTTAATGTTAATTTAATAGTCATAACAGGATAGAAAAAAGTAATAAAAACAAAATCAGTCTTATTTTCTCATAGTTAAAAATGTTACCGTAATCTTGCAAACGCACACAAATTACGTCCTAGTGACCTGTCAACCTCTCACCCGCACAACACAAAGACTAAAGAGAGATTGATATAGTTTACATATAATATTCCCATTTGCAATTAATACCTTAACAACCAACCACACCAGCGTGACATTTTGTTGATCATTCAAATCATCTATAAACGCTAAACCTAAATTTCACAGACTACTATAGTAATGGGAGTACCAGTGCCAAAATATATAAACTCTGCGTTCAATAACATGCTCACTCTATCAAGTTACTTTTGCCATTTAGTGCATTTTGATATCCAGTGGACAGTGGAACTTAAGAAGGATGACAACAATAATCACTACGTAACACTACAGCGCACTCACCCTGCAGCTCGCGGCGTGGTCACAGACAGATGTGCATATTCGTCCTCCTCCACTTCCATTTCTGCAAAACATGTGCATTTAATGGGAGCCTAACAGTTGATAATTTAATTTCTTAGAGAATAAGTATTATTAATTCGTTCTTATCCTACCTATAAAAAAGTGAAGTATTGCTTATTGAATAAAAAAACTAAGGTTACGGATTTTATCGCATTTAATTTAATTTGATTGGATTAATTTTAAATTCCCGTTTCGAGACATTTACAGCATCCATCATGGTTACTAATTATGACATCGGACAGAGGTATTTGACTTCCCGATGTTATAATTAGCCCTTCAGTTTTGAATATTATTATATATTCAAGAATATTATAAATTCTTGAATATATAATAATATATTCAAGAATATATTCAAGAGAATTATATATTCAAGAATATATAATTCAAGAGAATTATATATTCAAGAATATATAATTCAAGAGAATTATATATTCAAGAATATATAGCTATACGTGGTAGAGTCATGCTGCAGCTATATTAGTAGTATAGTTGTAGCACGAATGGGTCGGCTCGACCGGGGAAGGACCACGCTCTCACACAATACCAGCGTAAAATAGCAGTTTAACGCTGCTGTTTCGTATGGTGAGTGTAGAGAACCGGAGACCCTTTTTACTGGAAAAGAGGCATTCCATCTTAGTCCTCACGGGTGACAACGCATTTGCATTATGTTTCTTTATTGAGGATAGATGTAGATGTCTATGGGTTACAGTAACCACTTACCATCAGGTGGACTGTGTGCTCGTTTGTCACCCTATCCTATAAAAAAAATCAGCTATCGAACACGGCGTCACGGAGTCGTCAATAAAAAAAAATATATATAAAAATAGTGGTTTTTTTACTCCAATCCGTCGCAGTAGGTAGGTATTTTATTATAATTACAATTTTTAATTATTTTATAAGAAAAGTTATAACCACCTACGGCAAAGTTCACTGATCAAGCGAATTATGACGACTATGTAAACACCGATACGAATACACACAAGATTCCTTTGACTCGTGCTAAAAACCGACATCGCGTGGAGATTAGGCGAATACTCGGACCGAGTAGCGAGAACACCCGAACAAGGCGTTTACATATTTGTACTCGTTTGTGCTCGGCGAGTATCTAAACGTTGCATTACGAAATATAACTTATTGATGTGATGAGATGTCAGATCTTACACGTCATATGCGACTTCTGTTAGGGTCGCTCTTTTTTATTAGATACTATTGTTTTATTGAAATACATAAAGATATTTTCATTATGATAATAGTTTTAAATTATTCTATAATTAATATACAACACAAAACAAACTGTTTCTCTAAGCAATCTTAGGAGCGAATATGACGACTTCTCTATCGATTAGAGTCTGTACATGCACGAATTTTTCGGAAAGCCGACTTCAGCCCGGCCAAGATAGAATGCGCGGACCGTAAATAAATTCAATAAACAAGACAAAATCCGTAAAATTTTATTCAATGTCAAATAGTCATGTAAATATAAGAAATCACTAAGTATGGTTTACATATAGTTATGTAATAACAGTAGTAAATAATTAATATATCACCTGTGCTGTGGGCGGTGTGTTTGTCTGTGCGTTCTTGTTTCTCGCTGCGCTCGTCTCGCTCGAGTCGCTCGTCTCGCGCCACCTCACGCACCCAGCGCGCACACTCGTCCTGAGTGGTAAACGATGGTCACCACACACACACACGTAACATATCCTGGTGGTGACGGAGCGCAATGCAATGTCATACGACATACCACAGTAAAGATGCAACGACAGTGTAAATATTTACACGACTCCTTTTGAGCTACTTTACCCAATCATAATTTAAAAACTGTTAAATTAACAAACCTTGAAATTTTGTCAAATAATGTCTTACGCAGATGGCTAGTTTCAACGGAGCCTAGCCATCTGAGCAAGACAGGATTATATTGGAAGACTCTCTATTCCCTTCGACACGATCGAAGAGAAATCGTAGACCAATGGCTTTACATGCTTACCGAAGAACGGGGTTTAAACCCAATAACGCTCGCCTACAAGTGACATGAGAGATACACTTAGCGATTCACAACTTAATGAGTGTAATATAATCACTTTTCGTAATAAAAGAAAATTACCAGAAGATAACGACGACATAACAGTAATAAAAAAGGAAGTATGTGAATTGACTAACAAAATGTCGCAGATAATGTCGATGCTTACTACAATTTGCACTAATCAAAAGGAATTCATGGAAAAAATATCTTTAGATGTAGCAGATTTGAAAAAAGAAATCAATGATATGAAATTAACTATAAACCATGTTAATATAGAAAACGAAATAATAAAAACTGATATTTCAAATTTATTAAACAAAAACAAAAACAGTGAACAGAAGATGTGCCATCTTGAATCCGAAATTAAAAACTTTAAAATTACTACAGGAACATCTTCCCTATCTTACGGAACCGAAAAAATTGTGGCAGAAATAAGTGAGCGCGAACAAAGAAGCAAAAATATCGTTATCATTGGAATCTCTGAAAATGCAGCATTGGATAAAGGACATAGAATAGAGTTTGACAAAGGTGAGGTTATTAAAATATTAAAAACAATAGATGCAACTTGTCCTTTACCGAAAACAATCTTACGACTTGGTAAGTATACATCTGGTAAACATCGGCCAATCAAAATTTTCTTTGAATCTCAAGATGTCGTTAAATTCTTATTGAAGAATAAGACAAAGCTGAATGATGATACAATAAGGTTATATTCAGACCAAACACCGCAACAAAAATTATACCTAAAGGAGCTTACTCAAGAGTTAAATGATAGAATAAAAAAGGGAGAAGAAAATATTTCAATTAAATATTCGAATAATGTGCCAAGAATAGTTAAAAGCGTCTCAAAAACTCAAAACAATAAGAAATTGTAGTAATAATACAGAAGATAACAAAGTAAACACTTACCAACTAGTTGACGACTACGAGCACATTGTCTCATATAAGAAATCATTAAAAATATACTATGCTAACATACGCAGCATTGTCACACCAGGAAAGTTTGATGAGTTACAATGCCTACTAAAAATGTTTAAAAATACTGTCAACATCATTATTTTAACTGAAACTTGGATAAAATCCGAAGCAGAAGCAAAACGTTTTGTCATCCCTAACTACAGCCACTTTTATAATTTCAGAAACACAGGAAGAGGTGGTGGTGCATCAATTTTTGTTCACAATGATTTGAAGCACTGCCACGTCAGCGACACCAATTTGGATGGTAACCATTTCCTTTGGATTCATCTCGAAAAATATTGTCTAGATGTTGGAACCGTATACAGAAAACCAGATGCGAATATAAAACAATTTTTGGATGAATATTCTGCACAAATAAATAAACATAAAAGAGCAATTATTATTGGTGATTTTAATTTTAATCTACAGGCCAAAGATCGTGGAACCCTTGCTTACAAAGAAATTTTAGAAGAAAATGGTTACAGAATTATAAATAAGATAGACCGAAATTTTTGTACTAGGGAAACTGAAACAACTAAATCTATTATTGACCATCTATGTACTAACCTTAATGATAAATATTTTCACTTTGCTATTTTAGAGTCACCCATTTCAGATCACAAACAAATATATATTGAGGTTAAAAAGTATGTGCCGGCTCCTCTAAGTAAATTACAATATGAAGCTGTAAACTACGCGAAACTTTATGCAACTATGCAGAATGACAAAGAAACAAATGAATCTAAATCATATGATAAATTAGAAGAAAGGCTGTTAGACAGTATAAGAAAGAGTATCATTAATAAACAAAAGATTTTAAACCCCCCACAACAAGATTGGATAAATAAGGAAATAATCAATGAAATAAATAACAGAAATATTCTGTGGAGACAATATAAAAAGAACCCCAAAAATCTTGTTATAAAAAATAATTTATAGAGAAAAGAAATGAAGTCACAGAAAATATAAAGAAAAATAAAGCAAACTACTACTTTAAAGCATTTATAAATTGCGAAAATAAACCAGTAAAAATGTGGAGTTTGATTAACAATCTATCAAATAATAAATTGAAAGAAGCAACATTCCCAAGCAAGTTGAAGAATCAAAATGGACTTATTCTAACTAAAACAGATGAAATCTGTGAATGTTTTAATGAGTTTTTCGCCAGTTTTGGCTCGAATTTAACAAATCAAATAAAAAAATCTTACATAAGCTACAGTAATAAAAATGAGAGTGATTCTGGATTTGACTCGCAAAAACTTAGCCATCTAGTACCAGCAACGGTAGATGAAATTTCTGCAATAATTGAAAACCTAAACACTAACACTAGCTCAGGCTTAGAAGGTATTAGTTCTAAAGCAATTAAATGCGTCAAAAGTTTAATAATAGAAGAATTAACAGGCTGCATTAATGAATGTCTAAAGATAGGAGAGTTCCCTGACAATCTAAAGATTGCCAAAATCACCCCAATCTACAAATCTGGGTCAAAATTAGATCCTGGAAATTACCGTCCTATCTCAGTTCTACCGGTACTCTCAAGAGTCTTCGAAAGAATTATTTAAAATCGACTTGAAATGTTCTTAACGTCAATAAATTTCCTTAGTAAGAAACAATATGGTTTTAGATCCAAATCAAATACACTATCCGCCACAGTAGACCTTGTAACGAAAATAAAGCTGAATTTAGATAAAATAAAGAAAAATCGCGCTTAGTGTATTTATAGATCTAAAAAAACTTTTGACACAGTGAGTCATGAGTTGTTAATACATAAACTTGCTAACATTGGTTTAACTAACACTGCACTAGCAATTTTCAAATCGTATTTAAGTAATCGCCGACAAGTAGTAAAAATAGGTAAAACACGAAGTTCTTGCAAAACTGTAACGTTTGGGGTACCTCAGGGTTCTATCTTAGGACCCCTACTGTTTCTAATATATATAAACAATATCAATAAGATAGGCTGAAGTGGGGATGTAACCTTGTACGCTGATGACACGTGTCTTTTCTATTATGGTCACTCAATTGAATGTATTGTATCGGAAGCACAAAATGATTTGGATTCACTAAATGAATGGTTACAGAGCAATCTGCTAACGATCAACATAACTAAAACTAGCTATATGATTTTTGCAGCTAAAAACAAAAAGATTGGTGACTATAGTCCTTTGATGATTGACGGCATAAAAATTAATAAGACGGAGCAAGAAAAGTATCTAGGTCTTATTCTAGATAGTAAGTTAACTTGGCACCCCCACATTCTAAATATAAAATCTAAGTTGATATCTCTAACGGGTAAGATAAAGGGTATTGCTCGCTGTCTTCCAGTCCCTGTACGGTATACAATTTATAATTCCATTGTGAAACCACAAATCAATTATCTAGTAGAAATATGGGGTAATGCAGCCAAAACTAATCTAGCAATACTACAAACTGCTCAAAATAAAATATTAAAAGTTTTGTTTCATTTTGATTATTTTACACCGACAGATAAGCTTTACAGACAAATTAAAGTAATGAACATATCGCAAACATACAAGTACCAAAATTGTATATTAGTACGAAAAATTTTAAATAAAGATATACACACAAACACAACTTTTTCAAAGAGAATACAACTACACAAAATGAAACTTAGGCGAAGCAACGTTATTGAATTAATAACACCACGAACAAATTTCGGAAAAAAATGCATAATGTATGAAGGTTCACAAATATATAACAAATTACCTAAAGATATTAGAGACTCAAAATCAATGCACACATTTAAAAGACTACTTAAGTATCATCTATCGAAAGACTAAACAAAGACCTATCTAAATAAATAAATACTCTCATGTTCAATAACTAACATAAATAAATAAATATCTAGATTATTTCCTTCTTACACTCTAAAAATACCAATTATTTAAGTTATTCAGAAATAATAAATAATATAAATATTACAAATTTTACTAAATATATAAATTATTATAACCGACACTTAATCAGACTTTTTTTCTCTCTAAACTATTGAATCTAATCAACTGTATCACTCTACTGTGCGAGTCACATCCAGTAATGCTTATGTATGTAATCGGCTGTAGTGTTATGCTACTTACATATCATTTTACACTATTTTAAATTCATTTTTCTATTCTGTTTTCATTTTCTGCATTCACCTCAAAACTGGATATTTTGTATCACCTTTATTTCCATAGGATCCTGTAACGTTTTTAAACCATAAGAACACAATAACAAATAATTTTCACTTCGTATTTTCACGCTATCAGCATTTTTTAATTTGGTGTCGATGGAGTCTACCTTTTTCGATCTTTTATTTAGTTCTCCGTAACTCTGCAATTTCGGGCTATGTGCGCGCTGGTGCGCTACCTTTTTTCCTATAGGAATAATATCTCATTTTTCACTTAAATCTTGCCGTTTCTCTATTACGAGCCTAAAACCAAAATTTGACATGTTTTGACATCGTTGTTTATCTGGTTGTCATGACAATTTTTATTCAAATTCGCTACCGGTCTGTTGTTTCTACTTCGAAAATTAAAAAAAAAAAGAAAAAAAAAGGGCTGACTACTCCCTTAATAATTTTTTTTTGGTAGCGAATTTGAATAAAAATTGTCATGACAACCAGATAAACAACGATGTCAAAACATGTCAAATTTTGGTTTTAGGCTCGTAATAGAGA